ACAACCACTATTATCAAAGTAACATATGAGTAGTACTATCAATATGAGAAAAAATTCTTTATGGAATGATGAATCAATAATAGTAATATTGGCAGAGTATGAAGAGAATTGAAGCATCTAAAAAGTAGCAATAAACTATGATATTCTATATACAACTTTCAAAAAGTGGTGTTATGAAATGTGATCTTTTAAAACAAGAAGAGTTAAAGAAACTTTAACTATAGAAGAAAAATGCAAACTTGTCAAATATATTTAAGCCATATGAGATAGGGACATAAGTTTTTTTATCTATAACTTTAAAAATGAAGGTTTTTGAAATAACTAAGACTCAAAGCACTCCATTCAAGAATAGAATTTTTGGTGATGAAAGATTGAAGTGTTTTAAATAATGTCACTTTGAGCTTACAATAAGAGTTGAACAAGCTCTAGCATCTTCTAGACCAAAGGCACTATGCAAAGAAAATATGTAAAGTTTCTATGATAATCAAAGTAGGTTATATACATCATGTAGATATCTTCTAAAAATGATATAGAATTATGATGAGTTTGGTGTACAAGCAGGAAGAAATCGTAGTATACTTCTCATAGCTTGAAGATGTACTTCTCAAATACATCTTACTATATAAGATCAAAGAGAATGGCTATTAATATTAGTTTGCATGAATACACTAGAGGTCAATGTTGTATTATGTGTTGTCTTATTTGGAAATGCATCAGCCACCTAGCTGTGGAAGGTGAGGTTATGTTTCACAAACATCTAAAAAATCCTAATAGGTTTCATGCATATGAGAAGAATATAATCCAAATTTTGATTCAAAAGTAATAAAAAACACTCTTCTTAGTAGTCTTACGCACATGTAAACCTCAATTACCTTGTTACTTTCATATTTAAGCAATTTAGATTTTTCTTGTAAGCTTAAATCCTAATCAGTGAGCTTTGATAAGCTATAACTTCTAATCTGACTATCCACTTAATGTGAAATTTTGCAAGCAATTGTCAATATAAGTCTTCTATATGCTTAAGAATTTTCAGCCCAATCCAACTTACAAATTGTGAAAAAACCTCCAAAAACTACATTGATGTCACTTGGCTGCCAACTTAAAAGGTGAAGCAAAAATTTCAAAAGTGATTTCTCCTTCTCCAACTATTAACTTTGATTTAAAATTGGTATGCAACTTGATCTTCAAGTCCTTCAATACCATGACAAATTTCACCTTGATCGAATTGGTAGATCTCTTTATATCATAGAAATCCTACTAAATTATAAACTACCAACTTTCGATATGTACTTGTACCAATACCTAGATATCTCTCAATTGCACTATTGGATTACTACAAAATTTTACATATACTTAGAAAACCTAATTATCTAAGTACTATCAAAATTTGAATTATAGATGTGACACCAATTTTACGAACTAGGTGAGAGTGCTAGCCCTAATTTCATTGTATAAATCCCAAGTTGCCAATACAAACCTTGACTTCCAACAACAATTGCTAACTCTTTCCAAATCCTACCAAAACCAATCTTACATCTCTGGAAGAATTTCTAACCTAGCTCTCCAATCCTAATCTTCCATCTTCAAAAACATATTTTGTCCTAGTTGGTCGTTTTTGTGGCTAAAGATTTGATTTTGACCCTGTCTCACAAATAATCGATCCCTTGGTATCAATTTAAAATATCCTAAGGATTTTTTTTATCCAACCCTATCCTCAACTTAATCCTAGTATCAACTATACTAATTATTTATCTCTTCTAAATTTATTTTATCAATTTATGGCGTTTCGAAGGCAGTGAAAGAATTTCTATATCTTAGAAGGTAATATTAATAATTAACTTTTATCTACTTCCTATTAAAGTAAAAAAATAACCTTTGAAGCTTCTATAAAAGCCATGTTTAGATACCTCAAATTATTATTGAATCAAGATAATTAGATATTAATTAAAAATTCAATTTTGATTATAGTTTCACTATATAATAGTATTACATTACGACATTGGTATACTGTCCTTCTATATTTTTAGACGTGAATGTTTTTTACAAAACTACATAGAATATAGCAAGTTAGGTGCAACCATGGCAATGCAACCTAAGGTTTGGTTCACAAGTTATTTTTATATTCTACATGGATTTCTCATTTTATTAAGAGCTTGAGATGACTTTGTAGCATTTCTCATATATAAAAGCAGCTATTGATTCTTGATGGACATCTGAGCTACATTAATATTGAAGTAGCAAGACTAGTATATGACGAAAGATTGAATATTCTAACTCTACCAATTCATACATCCCATGCTATGTGGCTTCTAGATATATTTGTATTTCGATCCTTGAAGACATATTTTAAAGAAAATCAAAATCATTGGATTTTCAAAAAGCTAAACTAACTTGCCTAAAAACAAACTCTTGCATATTAGATGTCTCTAAGCTTAAAACATGCTTTAATAGTGAATAATATCATCAAAGGTTTCAACTCTATTGGTATATTTTTGCGTGATAGAATAGCAATAGACAATCACAGGGGATCCAAGCCAAACTTATATACAATTTTTAGAAGATGTTGGACAAGGTAAAATAAATGTATTAGAAATTGTACTAGTTCATAACATTGCAATAGACTTAAAATTGACTTCAAATTCTACCATTGATTTTTTTTTTTTGTTGATGCAAATGTGTCAAATTTGGAGTTGGTAGAAGAAGTAGGCAAATTGGATTTTGAATGGTCTAATCCAAAATCTATAATTTTCTTTTTAACATTGCCTTCCATCACATATGTGTCCAATCTAAAGAGATACAATATAGATCTCGTAGTAGATTTTTTTAAATTATTAATATTAATCTCAGAGGCATACATGAAAATTGTGCAAAAAATATAAGATCAAAATCTTGAATGAAAAATAGAGAAAAAAAGAACACAAATTTGACGTAAAGAGTCAAAATATAAAAGATTAGTGGATTTAAAAAAGAGGAGGATTCAAAGAAAAGCTCACCAAGTTGCACTCAAAAAAGAATGAATCCTTAAGATTACACATCAAGAGATTGTCATAAAAGAGTATGCCTCCAAAGCACTTGAATGAGATGATTTAATAAAAAAAATGTACTTCCAAGGTGCTTAAGCATAAAATACTCACAATTAGCTACATATAATAAAAACACAATACTAATATTTACAAGAGTAATGGGAGTCCTTACATTAAACTTGCTTAGCTTTTTATGCTAAGACTCATAGATTATAGTTAATAAGAGGGTCAAAGAGACTATTAGGACAATCCAACTCTTTTAATCTTACATGGAACATAAGGAAAAATCTTCATGATGTCAATAATATTAGTAAGTTTTCAATCACTATTATTGGTGCTATAGAGGATATTCTTTGTCAAAATAGAAGTTGTGATATGTACTATGATTGTGCCAACTATGTATTTGGCATAGTAAGAGGATCCTTTGTCGAAATAGACATGGACTTAAATTGATGCAAGAAGCTGGAGACCAACTTAGGTTGATACCTCAAAATGGTCACCTATTCAAGCAAGCACAACAAAGCAATTGCCAACTTACATTGATATCACAAAGTAGTCATCACCTCCGATCAGCATAGATATGTGGTAGCCAACTTTGGTTAATGCAAAGATGCAATTACCAATCACAATTATCTCGGTGGGGGAGTCGCTGACTTTGGTCAACATCAAGGAGTAGTTGCCATTCTCAATCATAGCAGTAGGATGGTCGCAAGGTCCAATTAATGCAAATCAACAATCACCAACCATAGTTGGTACTGCAAAGAAATCTATTCTATCTATCAACATAAGAATGTTATAGGAGAAGTAATATAAGCAAAAAGTTGAGAGGGATTTAGTAAAATTGTAGATTGAGATTAGAAGATGGAGCAAGTAAATGAGCTATTTTTCATTTGAATGGATAATAGCTCATGTTGGTACAGCAAGTTATATGTCAATCCAAGTTGGCATTGCAAAAATGTCTACCACCAAAATAAAAATTGGTCCTAATCAACGCAAGAAGTTGAATACCAACTTATGCTTACAAGTTCAAGTCGACTCAATGAGTTGGACGTTAGTCCAAGCTAGGATTACAAGGAAGTCATCAGCTAAGGTTCGAGTAGATAGATAATACTTGACTCCAATCAATATAGAGATGTAGTTGCCAACTTTAATCATCCCAAGAAGGGGATAGTTGTCTCCAATTGGTATGAAGGATTGGTTGACATTTTTAGTTGTTATGACAAGGTAGTTGCTACCTTTGATCAATGCAAGGTGATAGTTGCCAACCCAAGTCAGCATCGCAAGGAGATCTATTCCAATTGGCACCAAATGAGTGTTGTAGAGGAGATAAATAAGTAAAAAGTTGAAAAGAATTTAGTGAAATTGTGGATTGAGATTGAAAGATGGAGTATGTGAGTTACTATTTGGAATGAGCAAAAAGAAGGAAGAAAGGCAGCAAGAATCCAACTTGAACATGGTGAATTAGTTACAACCAAATGTTTGAATTTTTATATCTTCTTTTATACACTTACGTCCATACGTTTGATGGAATTAGATAAAGTTTTGTAGCATTAATATGTGCCACTTATCATAATTTTGTAAGAATTAGATTCTTGAATTTGCAATCCTGCATCAATTGGAATTAAGTAGGCCTATGTGTACATAATAGGAGGAAGGGAGTGTTTAGCTAATATAGTTACATATATTCTGTTTCGAGCCAATTTGTATGAAATTACTTGGATACCTCCTCTTTTGAATTTTCCTACAAGGGGTTATTTTTTTCACTTCTCCACCTACTGGGTAGCTGCTAAAATGCTTCAAATATCAGAAATGGATGGTCTACCGAACATGTTGGATTGTTCCATCTTGTTTTTTGAGGGCTGCTGCTGACTAACTGGCAACCAATTGTTCGATAGCTCTAAAATATTCCTAGAATATTGGAAAATACAAGATCAAGAGTATGGACTTTTTTAATACATAATATTTTAGATATATATATATATATATAAGCCATTTGACTAGGTGAAGGGTATATTAAAATAATTCAGTGGAGCAATACGGGGTTTCTGTTCATCCAGTAAGAGGCATCAGTTGAATATATTGCATTTCCTGCAAAGCTATCTTACACCGAGTTATGTTGAGTATTGTGCAGTTTTCTACAAAACTGCACAATGATCTTTCTGTTTGCATGTCCATATTTGTGAAACCCTAATTCGGAACTTCAAAGCAGATGTTTTCGAACTTGGCCATGTCGTCCTCGAACAATGTGAGGATGGCATCAACACTGCCATCTTGAGTGTGAGAAGTGTTGAGAATGATGAGACCTTCAAAAGGGACGTAGGAAGGGCCGGCATACACAGGCGTGCCCCATCCGAAGTCCAATTTGTAGAGCGGCATCTGTAACCAAGACGTGACCTTCAGGTCAGGGCTTAATACCGTGCTCAAGGGTCTACCAAAGGAAGCAGTATTCTGGCGCCGGTGCTCGATGTAGTCGATTGCTGATCGGATGTAATCGTTATCAAGTCTTTTGATGGAAGCGTGTACAACACCTGCAGCGTACGAGAGGGGTTCCTCCGTCAATTGTGTCACAAGGGTCCGAGCGCAACTGCGGAAGATAGCATTGCCGTAATAATCTTCTGAGATTGAGGGGGTCAGTCGGCGCCTCACATCGCAGATGATGGTAGTCCGTGTCTCGATGTCACCGCTCAATCCACGCGCCTTCGTAATACACCGCCATAAGTGCCCAGTCAGGCTCTCGAAGGTGGAGTAGGTGGGGAAGCCGCGCTCGTCGTTCTCTTTAACGGCTTTCGACTGAATTTTCTTAACCATGTCGAAACTAAAGCGTATTTTCTTTGTAGCGACGGGACGGTTGTTAGATGTGACCTCAGCATCAGGCTTAGGCAGGGGGATGACATATTCGATATGGTCGAATGTTGGCGTTGGCTGGTCCCTCGGCATCAGAGCTGCACGATCATGGCGTATGGATGACAACGGAAGCCCTTTGCACGCAGACGCCCACGCGTTCATGAATTGGCTAGCCCCCGTTCCGTCGGCAACTTGGTGATATCTTGCAACACCCAACGTCAATCCACCACACTTAAACTTGGTGACCTGGTCACGATTAACTTTAGGTGTTAGCGCAGTCACAAATTCATCTACCTCTTTCAGAGTTCCAACCCTCGCGAATACGAACTGAACTGCAATATCGCGACAGGTCAGTCGCCTACCAGGTAGTGGTTTACGATTCTACAAATGAAGACATTGAAACCATACTGTGTACTTCATATTGCACTACTAGAGACATCTATCGCCAATGGCGCGACTTTGTGGCAGGACAACGAACATCAATTTCAGAGTTGGACGACAACACTCACCTGAACAAGCAGAAGCTCTGGTACACCACGACTAGGAGGTACCATACTTTGAAGCAACGGCGAGGGATCAAACGGGAAAACATCTTGCAAGCACCCGTCCGCCACCGCTTCCACAAACACTACTCCGTCGTCATTCAGCTCAATGGCAGGTCTGCCTGTCTCGTCAATCATGAGGCGTCCAGCCCACTCTCTGTACTCGGTTAGCACCCGCCCCAACGCCCCTTCTAACACCTGCACGACGTGATCAAAGCTGACCCCCTTGCTGGCCTTGTATGCATATATCACTCCGACGTGCACCCTGGCCACCACCAAATCCGAACTGCTTAACGGCACCACCTTCGGTACCGCATTGCTTCTATCAGCTGGCTTCACCAACCGCGGCAACCCCCTCTCGATTTTCATTTCTCCACAAATCTCCTCCGCTCAACGGACAACCTGCACAGTACCTATTCAAAGCTCTGTTCAAAAAAGCCGACGATGCGCAAGCTGTTAAACAGCAGCAGAACAGGAAGAAAGGCTTCAGTGACAAACGTGGAATTTTCCTTGCAGATAGAATGACTTATATACAATTCTCCGTTAAGGTGCAGCAGAGTTCGAAATCCTAAATCTACGGCTTGCATGTTGGAGCAAAGAAAAGCAGAGTTCAAGATCCCAAATCTCCTGCTTGAATGTGGGAGTAAAGTATGCTCACCGAAGTCTACTAAACTCAGTTCTTTACTACAGAAAGCCGACATGTGACAGGTTCATGTTCACATAAAGATCACCTGAACCAAATGTGTTTGTCAAATCATAACATGAAAAAACTACCACGTTTCATGAATTCCGACCTCCGATCAACATTTAGAGTTGAAGAGTACACTCAAAGCACGGTTTCGACTGCACCGTAGACAAAGCTGACACTTTTGGTCGGCCCAAATCATCAGTGACACTAATACACGAGATGCATGTGCAATAGTTCGACATATGCCAACGCAGTCCTGATCTTCGGGGTTGACCCCAGGCTGGATCGGGCGTCACGCATATAGTGGCGACGGAGATTTCGTTGTGCAGGTTGACGAGGGATCGATTGCTCAGAATCCTCGGATCCTGGAATGCGCGCACGAGTGGCACGCCCTGCTTGTCACTTGTGCACCTGTCAGTGAGTGGGTCGACGATGGGGTGGATTTCTTGGCAGTGGGACAAAACAACTATAAGTCATCAAATCACTGCTTAACACCATTTTATTTTATTTTTTAAAACTTAGTTTTAGTCTTGTGACTCAGATCTTAGTACAGAATGAGATTTTTCATAGTGAATTTGTATTCAATACGTGAAATCAATTGAGTACTTAATAATTCTAGACATATGTAAACATGCATTTAAAGACCCGTTAACTGCCACTTGACATACATTCGTCCTTGTTCTCAAGCGAACACACCATTTGAGACATCTTTTCCTCCAGATTGTTAGAGACAACTGCCGCAGGTGTTTCTTGCTTACTCTGCATAGGAGTGAACTGGTAAGATTTAGGTTTAGTCAGAACAACTAGAAAATGTTAATTCAAGGCGACACTTCACGTGCAATGAAGGGGCACAAGAAAAGATAAATCTCACCTTAATACTACTTTGATCCACTGTAAATTTGATTGCGTCTGAGGCAGCTCTCGACCGCAAATAATACATGCCTGTTTTCAAACCCTTCGTCCAGGTGTAGAAGTGAAGAGAAGTAAGCTTTCCAAAGTTAGGCTGGTCCATGTGGATGTTCAGACTTTGACTCTTGTCAATGAACGCTCCTCTCGCGGCGGCCATATCCACAATTGACCGCTGTTTGATTTCCCAGACGGTCCTGTATATCTTCAAGTCATCTGGAATGACGTCGATTTGCTGAATTGAGCCATTGTGATAGATGACTTGGTTTTTCAAGTCGTGCGTCCAAAGGCCCGTGTTTGTTAAGTCGTTGAGAAGGTGCTTGTTGACCACCACGAATTAACTTGGTTGGAATTTGTATATCAAGAATTAGTAAGAATTTATTTGATCTTAAAGGATTTGTTAGTTGGATTAAGCAAATTTTTGTAAATATGTTGTAAACTTAGCATTTATCCAATTTAGAAAGTAATTGAATAATTTAATAAGATATTATTATTGCTAAAAGATGAATTTTGAGGTTGGAAAAAGAAGATGGCCAACACCTAAGCAGTTAGGGAGTGTTTTTTTTTTTTTTTTTTTTTTTTTCAATTAATATGTTGGATTTATTTTATTTTATTTTATTTTATTTTTTAAAATTATTATGAAAGTTTTTGATCATTAGATTACAATGCGTGAATTTTTTAAAAAAAGATTAATTTTTCAATCAATATTTATTGAGGTTTTAAAATTGTCCTAGGATTGATTAGGATTGATTAAGTATCCATTAGGATTTCATTAGGATTTGTAGAATAATTTTAGAGTTTGAATAGTATTTGTTTGAATTTATAGCATAATTTTAGGATTTAGGTAGGATTATTTAGAATTTCTTTAAGCTTAATTAAGATTTGGTTAAAGTTCACTAATGATTTATTATATTTTTTAAATATTTATTTAGAATTATAGAAGTTTATTTAAAATTTTATTAGAAATATTTTATAAGTTACTTTAAAATTCTTTAAGATTACTTATCTGAGTGGGACCTATTATAAAAACTTCTAAAAAGTCCAAGGGGGTAGAACAAAGTATAAATTGGACTGGCGAGGGCCTTTTAGGGCATCTAGTCAAGTATGGCTTCACTTTTTCTAATAAAATTTGATTTTGCATCTTTTTATTCAATTTTGTTTAGTTTTATTTCCATTTACTCAATTTTGTTCTTTGTGTCCTACTCTATTTTGTTTTATTTATTTTTTATTTTGGTCTATTTTATCTTACTTTGTGATGAGACTTTATATTGCTATGGATTAGAACGGTCTTGGATCTCTGAGATAAAGTGGTCTTGTTTCAATGACAATCTTATAGAATCTTTTTAAAGATTATAAGGCTTAAGTTCTGAGCATCAAGTATTTATAGTAAGTTGCTTCTAATGCAACTCCATATAAATAAGAAACTTATAAAATAGGTTTGAATAATCATGTAACATTTCTATTAAAATATAAATATCTAATTTATGTTTAAGAAATTTTTTCAAAGTTTTTAAAGAAAGATATTAGCTTTGTAACATGTTTCTACTTATTTTTATTTAGTTTTATTTAAATTTTTTTCTTAAATAACTTAGATATCTATTATATCACATCTTTATTTTAAGCAATAAGTTCTATAGGAAGTAATGAAATTGTTGTACAAGGTGATAAAGTCTAATATATTTTTAAATGGTGCTAGCAAAAAATGCTGATCTTTTTTTGTTATAAAAGTGATAAATAGGTCTTTTTAATCAATGATAAAATTCTATGCTAAAGCAAAAAAACCACCTAATTATGTAATAATTATTTTGGCCTTCATAATTACATTCAAATAATATGTTTTATATTTAATTAGGCATAGTACTATTGAATTAGTATTTTCTATCAATTTAATTTAGCTAATTTCTTGAAAGATTAAAAAAAAATTAAAAATCTAATCAAATTTAAAAATTTAAGATAAGAATAATTAAATATATTAATTTTAAAATTCTTATTTTTTATTCAAAATTTATTATTCATACTTAATAGTATGAACTATAGCTTAATTTTTTTGTCTTTTGGTAGTAAATAATTTTTTTTAAACAATTGATTTCTATCAAATTCTAATCAATTTTTATCATGAAATGGTGGCTAAGCTAACTATTTAGATAGTATAATTAACTTCATAATCTTCTTCTTAAGTCCATGTAATTTTTCTCAATAATTACCAAGGGCCAATTAAAATAATATTAATACTTGTCTCTAACATAAAATTATTTTGTATTGTGGATGGTATTCAATTAGTTATTAAAAATAAACCAATTAATTTATATCTAACAAAAATATGATAAGAAAATATATATATATATATATATAAAGAAAAATGATAAAGCAATCAAAATTTTTATTAAATCAAACTGCATGCTCGTTTTCCAATCATTCCCATATTCCCTTATTTCCAACAATCATCTCTATTTTCAAAGTTCTTAGCCTATTGTTCCTATCTTTAGTAATGGTTGAAAACAAAGAATAGCTAGAAACATAGATAGGAGCTTCAAAGGTATAATGATGCTTATAATAGAGTGGATCACTTTACTAAAAGATTAGATTACTTTATCATTCATTTTTTTTTCTCTCTCTCTCTCTCTTTCTCTCTCTTTTTCTATATATATATATATATATATATATATATTTAGAAAATAAATTAGAAAGGCTATTGCCAAAAGATAAGAAAATTAGAGACTCTTGAAATTAGAGTAGAAGCAAGAAAAGAATTAACAAGAGTGAGAAATGCCTCACTCTTACTTCTATATATACTATCTAACTAAGATCTATGTAGCGACATTCAATAAGACCTCTAATATGTATTTAACTCCCACAATATGTATTAAACTTATAAGACAAGCTTCTTATATGTATACCAACTTGTACCACAAGTAACCAATATGTGCAATATGTGGCTAAGTTTTTAACCAAGTTTTCAATTTATCAATAATCTATAGATACATATATAAGCAAAGCTACATCTATGAAGCTTCTAAAAATCTTCTCTACAAGATATTATCAAATTTATCTACTTTTATTTACTTTTACATATTCATATTATCCAGATAATTATAAGAATAAATATGTATAACTATAATACCTTGAAAACATGTATTAATTCCAATTAATAATTTATTTTCAATGCATTATCAATAATATGGTAATCTACTCTCAATTTGGCAATGAAGCTACTCTTATCTTTTATAAGAATGCAAACCAACTATTTACAAATACTTTCTTGGATATTAATATGAATTCAAATAAAAGTACTAATTTGGTGCTTTAAAAAAAGATAAGTTTTATTTTTAAAAATTCTAGTATTTTTTGGTTGATAATATTTTTTTAATTAAAATATATTTGTTAAAAGAATTTACTCTTATTATATAAGATGTTTAATTATAATAAAAAAAAATAACTCTTAATAAAAAATTGTTTAAAAATCTATTGATAAATTAATTAGAATTTAATTATTCAATTTAAATACTAAAATGAAAATTTTAAAAGTATCTTTAAATAATTAAAAAAATTAAATAATGTGTACAAATACCTACTTCAAATAGTATCACTAAGCATCAAAAATCTTTTCAAAGATTGTAGTACCAAATATGTTGTATCAAGTTATCTATTTAAGAAAAGACATGGCTTTTGTAAGTATCTTTTTTATAATTACAATATTCTTTAAATTGAGACAATATAAGTGCTTCATGTGGCAATTTTTTAATTGGAAATTATTGAGATAAATTTGTTGGCTATTGATTCTCTATATTTACAAAGAAATTCTAAAAGTTGATTCTTGAACTTATTTCTCTTTAGAATATATCATATTATTAATGTTTGATTTTTATTTTATTGATGTTGTCTATAAAAACATAATAAGAAGCTTTGATGCATTTGTAACATTCTTTAATGGCTTGTATGTGCATTTATTAATATTATTTCTACATCAATTAATAGAATATTTTAATTCATTTCAAAGCCGCCTTGAATTTAAGACTTCTTTTATTTCAAATTCTTGATTGTTACATATTACAAGAAAAGATAATAGTAATTTTATTTTATTATGTTAATTGCAAAATAACACTTAATAAGAGACACATAGAATACATGATGGATCTTCACTAACAATGGTAATTACAATTAAATTGATTTTTATTTTTATTTTTATTTTTAATAAATAGACCAAGGCTTCAATAATCTAGTTTCTTATAAGATTGATTGGTTTTAATATTACAATAAAGTAATACTATCTTGGTACCAATTATATATATATATATATATATATATATATTATTTTTTCCACAAATGTATATGTTAGTTTTTATTTTTTATTGTTGGACCTTCTTTAGGCATATCTTTGTTGTTGTATAAAGTTTGACTATTCTACTTGCCAATTATTCCACTTATAGATTTCCAACATTTGAAAAATCAAAAGCACTAAATTATAGATTATAAATATAAATGATTAAAAAAATAGATATTTTTTTAGTAGAAAAATATACCACATTATTCTATATAAATTTCAGTAATCATAAGAAAGTTATTTGAATGTTTTAGTCATAGCTAATAATAAATTGCAAATAATGTTCCAAAACTTAATTCACACATTTTTTATTTATCCATTAGTTTGAAGATGAAAAGTTGAAGATAACTCAATATCAATCTTCAATACGTCAAAAACTGTCTTCTAAAACCTTGATACAAATTCAGATTTGTGATCAAATATAATGTGACTTGAAAGTCTATTTTTCCAATAGATATTGTACAAGAATTTTTTTTTTTTTTTTTTTCACTCTTGATAGTTTTTGTAAGGAGCATAAAATGCGTTGTTTTGCTAAAGATCTAAATTTAATACTTGTGAGTGTTTGGTTTTTTGAGACGGTGTTTTCATTTACTAATTTTTAATGAATGTTGTATTTTTAATATAATTATAGGTTTTGATATATTTTTAAAAAATATTTTAAAAAATGATTTATTATAATATGGCTATAAGGTAAAAAAAAAAAAAAAAAAAAAAAAAAATACTTTGAAAAGAAATTAATAAAAGATAGAAAGGTAATAAATACATTTAATGTTAATGCTATTTTTTTCGTCAAAAAAAACTTTTACTTACTTTGTAGAGCCATAAATAAGATAAAAATATATATATATTAGAAATAAATAAAATAAAATAAGTAAATAAAAA